GAATGGTTTTCATCAAACAACAAGTGTTAGTGAAGATGTGGGGAAAAGGGAACCCTTGTGCACATGCAGACATGTGCAACATCTGTGGAAAACAGCATGAAGTTTCTACAGAAAAATTTAAAATGGAATTGCCTTATGATCCAGTAATCTCACTTCTGGGAATATATCCTAAGAATCTTGAAATAACAATTCAAAAGAATATATGCACCGTTATACTCATAGCAGAGTTATTTACAATAGCCAAGATCTGGAAGCAGCCCAAGTGCCCATCAGCAGATAAGTAGATTAGAAAAGAGCTGTGGTACATTTATACAATGGAATGCCACTCAACCATAAAGTGTTTCTTTTTGCTATAGCATGGATGGACCTAGAGATTATTATGCTAAGTGAAATAAGCCAGTCAAAAGAACACAAGTACTGTATTATTTCCCTTATATGTGGAATCTAGTGAACAAAATAATTTAAAACAAAATAGAAATAAACTCATAGATACAATGAACAGACTCACAGCCGATAGAGGGGAGAAGGCTTGGGAGCAAGGTAAAATAGGTAAAGGGATTAACCCCCTCCAAAAAAAAAAAACCCTCAAAGATACTGACAACTGTATGGTGATTACCAGAGGGAATGTGGGGATGTGAGGAGGTAGAAGAGGGTAAAAGGAGGATAAATGGTGGTAGGAGACTGAACTTTGGATGGTAAACATACAATACAATATACAGTGATATATTATAGAACTATACACTTAAAACCTATAATTTTATTAACCAACATGACCCCAATAAATTCAATAATTTTTTTAAAAAATCATCTTGTTACAATGAAATTTTTATTTTATATTTTTAATTTCATTGATTTCTGCATTTTTTAATTATTTTCTTTCTACTTTCTTTGAATTTATTTTTACTATTTTTCTGGGTTCTTGAAGAGGAAGCCTAGATGATTGGCTTGAAATTTTTTCCCTTTTCATATGTGTGTGTGTGTATTTGCTGTAAAATTTTCTCTCAGCCCTGCTTTAGCTGTGTTGAACAAATTTTGATATGTTGCATCACTTCACTTTCATACAGTTTAATGTATTTTTTAACTTTCCTTGAGACTTCCTCCCTCTTTCACTCATCGGTTATTTGGAATTGTGTTGTTTGGTTTCCAAATGTATGGAGACTTTCCTATTATCTTTCTGTTATAAATTTGTTGTTTGATTCCATGCAGTTGGAAAACACAATCAGTATAATTGAAATTATTTTAAATTTGTTAATATTAGTTTATGTCCCAGAAGATGGTTTGTCTTGGCCTTCGTTCCATGGGCATGTGCTGAGAAGGTGTGCTCTGCTATTGTTGAATGGAATGTTCTATGTATGTTCATTAGGTCCTTGTTGGTTAGATTATCAGATAATGAGATACTGTGTTTAAGTTTTTCTATATTCTTGCTGATTTTCTATCCATTTGTTCTATCAATTTTTTAAAGAGAGGTGTTTAACTAGTTATGGTTTTAACTATTTGTTCTATATGTCCTATTAGTCTTTACCTCACATATTTTGAAGCTTTTGTGCTTACACATTTAGGATTACTATGTCTTCTTGGTGGATTGGCTCTTTTATCATTACATAATGTTCCTCTCTGTCTCTGGTAATTTTCTTTACTCTGATGTCTACTTTATATAATATTAACACAGTATAACTACTCAAATCAGAGTTTTTAAGTTAGGATTTTTCTAGGGGGAAATAATTTGAGGATTATTTTTATATACTATTTATTTACCTGCAGGCATATTACTAGTAATATGATTGTGAAATTAAAAATAGAAGTGATTCAACTAGATATGATAGGCTAGAATATTAAAATGTATCTGTATTCCTTCCTAATTAATTCAATGTTTTTACCTTCATTGTAAGAATGTCTTTATCTTTTCTAAGAATGCTATCTCATTTTTAAATTCAAGGATACAAGCTATAACATTTCTCACATTGAAGTATCATGGAGCCTCAGATTTCTGCGGGTAACTCTTGCTCTTTGAATTCTCATCTGTGTCTCAGAATCTCAGAGCTGGAAGTGATCCCAGAGGTTATTTTATGACTAACTTGTACATGAGTATTGTAACTGTGTGACACACCAATCTCTACCTGCTAAATCTTATATAGTTTTGAAAAGAAATATTAAGTTTATTTCCATATGGAAAATTACCAATAAGTAGATAATAGGCTATGCAGAACTGTCATGGCCATTGACAGTTTTTTAAAAAAATTACATACTAATGTTATGTGTTTCATGTTTTCTTAATTCCCTTTTCCAGCTCAGACAGCTAAAATGTTTTGAACTTTAGTTTAAATAAAATGCAAACATATTGCTAATAAAGTTTTGTTCCATTGCTCCTATCAAAGACTTCCTGAAAAAATAAAAAGGCAATCACCATAAGGTATCACCTCATACCTGTCAGGATGGAAGTAATCAAAAAGACAAGAAATAACAAGTGTTGACAAGGATGTGAAGAAAAAGGAAGACTTGTGCATTGGGGTGTAAATATAAATTGGTGCGACCACTACAGAAAACAGTATGAAGGTTCCTCAAACTATTAAAAAATAGCACTGCTATAAGATCCAGTAACTCCACTTTTTGGGTATTGATCTGAAGAAAATGAAAACACTACCTGGAAAGGATATACACACCTCAATGTTGAGTGTAGCATTATTTACAATAACCAAGACAGGGAAAGAGCCTGTTTCCACCAATATATGAATGGATAAAGAGTATGCAACATACATAGAAAATGGAATATTATTCAGCTATACAACATAATAAAATCTTGACATTTGTGACAACATGGGTAGAACCTGAGGACATTATACTAAGTGAAATAAGTCATACTGAGAAAGACAAATACTGTATGATCTCACCTGTATATGGAATGTAAAACAAAAAACCTGAACTCAGATGCAGAGAACAGATCGATGGTTGCCAGAGGCTGGGGATGGGGTTGGGAGAAATGAATATTGTGGTCAAAAGGTACGAATTTCCAGTTGTAAAATAAAGTCTTGGGGATGTAATGCACAGCATAGTGACTATAGTTAATATTTTATAACATAATTGAAAGTTGCTAAAAGAATAAATCTTAAAAGTTCTCACTATAAGAAAAAATTTAATTATGTATGATGATGGATACCAACTAGATTTATATTTCAGTATATCAGTATATGCAACCACTGAATCATTGCATTGTATACATAAAACCAAGATAATGTTATATGTCAAATAAAAAGGGTTATTATTGTTAACATAAAATTGCCACATCTTTATTTATAGACTAGGTTTCATTCTATAGGAATAGTCAACCAAATAAGCAATCATAATCATGCTGCAACTTAAATAAACTTAATTTAATCCACATAATAAACATTTTCATGTTAAGCACTATAGGCCCTAAACAACTTTCTCCGTGGTTACAGCATGGATTATAAACTTTTTATCTGGACACTTTGTGAAATGCTCACTCCTTTCTCCTCTCACATTCTACTACAGTCTTATGTAAATCCTGACAGTACTTAACCAGGTCGTGATTCATGCTCCCTCCATGCCTGTAAGCAATTTGTTCAGTTAGTCCAGAATGTTCCTTGTGTGCATGGCAATGTCAAGTCAGGTCATCTCCTCTATAAAGCCCTTCCTGGCCATGTATTCCTTTGTGGAATGGAGCCATCTCCCTTTTGCCCAGTCTGTATGTAACCCACAGTGACTTACCATCAGAGTACCTGGAACTCAGTTTATTACCCATATGTAATTACATGACTGAATATCTTGAAGGCAGAGCTTGTTGTCCCATCTCTCCTCCTTTTTTTTAATGTTCCAGAGCTAAGATTTCCAGAGTCCACAGCATTAAGTAGCTTAATGTTGGGTTTTGCTTTACATTATAATTATAGGTTGAAAAAAGGACTTACATCCCCAACGTCTTTTTTATAAATATAGTTGGCATACAATATATTATTTTCAGGTGTACAACATAGTGACTCAACATTTTTATATCTTAACAATGTGCTCACCAAACTAAGGCTTCTGCCAACTTCTCAGGGGGACATAGAAAACCCACCGAGCCCTGAATCACTTTAGTATTTGAGGCACTTGGATTTCTGAAATGTGAGGAAATAGAGTAACACAAGTATTTATTTGTTCAATACAACAATTTAATGTATATGGTTACATATTGGCAATATGTCTAATTTTATTTGTAAATCAATGCAGAAGTTTTAATTAGGAACTTTTTCTCCACAATCCTGTCTTCACTCTGTGGCTTTGTTTGATTGACTCACCTCCTCAGCAACAACCATCTACATCTCAAGTCAATTTGGTACTGGTGATAAGCTTCACAAAACACAATGTTAAAATAATGCTGGTCTTTGTAACAGGTTATGCCATCAGTAGGTGAACACTTGAGTTCTGTTTGCCTTCTCCTAGAATTAGGGAAGCAGAGTAGACATATAGTTAGTTGCTCTGTGTTTGCAGGGGAAACTGGCTGAGTATTTTTTCTGAGTATCCCATTTCCAACCCTTAAGTTGAAGAACCAGACTCATTATTTTATTTATTAAAACATCACATATTTTACCAAAATTTAGTATTAAAACAAATTTCAGTGTTATTATTGACCTGCTGTAATGTTCTTTTATAATTAGCAAGTATTTAAGTAAATACTTAAAAGCAAAACTTTTGTTTCTTGCATCTATTTTTCTATTACTTTAATAATTGGTTTTTAGGCAAACCCTAATATTTTGTATGAGTCTTTAAAATGGTAACAGCATTATTGAAAATTGCCCAGTATTTATTCCAGCTAATAATTTTTTAGTAGATTAAAAATTTCTTTTATAGTTTTAATAAAGCAATGCATTTTATTTTATTTATTCCTTTTTTATTGTTGTTCAAGTACAGTTGTCTCCAGCTAATAATTTTTATTATATTACACTAAGATGAATTTCTACATGAATAATTGAACTAATAAAAATGTATTTTTCATTTGAAACCAGAATGATATGGAAGAACTTGATGATATTCTCACATCTGTATTCAAACAAGAGATACCATATTATGAGTTCCGATCTCTCCAAACTGAAATGTACCCTCAAAAAGAACGTGAGTATTTTCCAAATGCATCAATTATTCTTTAATGTAGTATTTTAATGCATGTGACTTGGTAGTAAATTTTATAGCTAAGAATATAATTGAATTGATGATTAGCTATTTTAGAAATTTACCATCATCTTGTCAGAGAGCACACTAATACAAACTTCTGAAGATCCATCTGGTAATTTTTTTAATCACAGGCCCTAAACTTTGCATAATTTTTTTAATCAGTAAACCTACCTCCTATATTTTTATTGTAAGGAAAGGCTTAGAAAACTACATTATGATAGAAGCTGCTCATTAACAATTATAACTATTTTATAATTATCAAAATTCAGTTAAACAGGATATGTAGAGGTAAAGTGCAATCATCTTTTAAAAAGTACATGTGTTTAATAGCATATATGTTTATATCTATAAATTGTTGATCTGTACAGATATGTACCTGTTAACATTAGTTACATTTGGGGTTGTAAAATTTCAGGGGTTACGTTTTTTAATTTTACTTAATCTGTGTTTTCTATACTGACTATGTATTATTTGTATGATGAAAAAATACATATAAAATGTAAGAATCAAGACAAGTATATGTAGGACCTACTACCAAAAAAAATCATACTTCTAATTGTTATCATGAGCTCAGTAGCACATTTTCAAAATTGTTTCCACATTGTTTGTTTAGAGTTCACTTATATGCCCTGTATGTGTCAAACACGGTGATAGAGATGTAATGTTGAGTAAAACAGGAATGGGACAAAAGAATACAAAAAATCTACTGTAGGCCTATTAAAGACTAATGAGTAGATCATATTTTTCCCTAGAGTCTCTATCTACTAGAGGCATTTTAATTATCAGGCTGGCAAGTTCAGGACTACAGTAAGGAATGAATGGGATTCCTAAGACACAGCAGACTGCTAGTCATGTGAATGTATAAATTTGTATTATGTATGGTGAGGTTATATTTCCCTTCAAATCATTATAGGGAACTGGCAATGATATGCTTGCTTTGAATAAGTAATCTTGTGAGATTAGTGAAACTTACTTTTGTTTCCTATATATTTTAACAATAGATATATTTTAGCAATATATACTTTACTTACAAAGTTTAGACAATAGATTAGGATGGAAAAGAAATATGACATGATTTCTCACTTAAAATGTAATTTAATTGGAGAAATGAGATAATATATATGTTATAACAGAAACAGTGTGTTAAACATTATGGAAGTGATTATATTGACAATAGAATTTTAGAGAAAAACATACCTTATTTTTCAGGACCAGCTTTGTTAAGGAGGTGGGATTTTACCAGTCTTAAATGGTGGGTAGGATTTTAGTGAGGAAAAAGAAAGGAAACAGAAGATGGAATTATGATAGTTTTTTATGACAAATTCCCTCAGCATTTTGTTTATTTGGGTTTATGGAATGAGAATTGTAGGGTTGAAGAGGCTAGAATGGATTTAGTCTTTCACTTTTATAGATAAAGAATTCTAGATAAATTTAAAAGTGTTTCTCTGTGTATTGTTCAGGTTATTAAATGAGAATTTTAGAGTTGGAAATGATAGATTAGTTTATTACCTTATTTTTATAGGAAAAGAATTCTGAATAGGTTAAATCAGAGCTCATGAGAATGTGGGTCTGACTCAGTAGGTCTGGGGTATAGTCTAAGCTTGTGCTTCTCCAACAAGCTCCCAGGTAAAGCTGATGCTAGTCCTCCAGCTTTTTATTGAGCCTCAGGGTTTAGAGCAGTGGTTCTCAGTCTTGGCTGCATGTTATAATCAGCTGTGGACATTTGAAAGTATCCCATCCAGCCCTGACTAGGCGGCCCAATAGGTTGGATGTTGTCCCATGCACCAAAAGATTGTGTGTTTGATTCCTGGTCAGAGCACATGCCTGGGTCGTGGGTTCAATTCCAGTCTGGGTGCTTACAGAGTTGGAGGAGGCAACCTATGGATGTTTCTTTCTCACATCAGTGTTTTTCTTTCTCTCTCTTTCCTTTTCTCTCTCTCTAAAATGAATAATAAAAACACACTTCAGTATTTTTTTATAATTTTAAAAAAATTATAAAGTAGCCCGTATCTGAACCACACCTCATACCAATTAATGAAGAATCTGAGGGAGTGGGTCCCAGCTCTCAGGGTTTTTAAAGTTTCCCCAGTGATTCCAATCGGCATCAAAGGTGACCAGCCTCTAGTGGCTTCAGTGTGTTACACACCAGCCAAATAGTTCATACTGATCTTTGATATGGAGAAAATATTACTCTCTCTTTATAAAGGTTAGAAAGATAATAGCATATGAAGTTCTGAATCATTACTACAATTGAGTGATTATTCTGTGCTTGACAAAAATTTTTATTAAAAAATTACATTTTGTAACAGAAGCTAAAAATGCAAAGTGCAATATAATCTAAGTAGTACATTCAGAAACTTTGTTGGGTATTGCTAATGACAGTTGCTCTTAAACTTATAACAGAAGTAAGAAACCCTTATAACATTAGGCTCTAATTCCTAGTTGAAGTGTGAAATAACATGATACAAATTACTTAATAACAATATGCAAGGTAGAAATGAATATGACTGAACTCATGTTTTGCTGGCCTTCTTGATCCTATAATATATAATCAACTTCGGCTTCAGATTATCTGGTCTTTAATGTATAACTATATTACTTTCGCACCTGTATTTTCATAATTTTCAAGGTGAATCTATGATAAGGGTTAAGCTGCCCTTGTACATGAAGTACTATTAATTGTGGGAGAAAGGTCAGCAAAGAAATGACAAGTTGTTGAGGAATTTCTATAGAAACACCACTAGATGTATTCTGAGACACAAATTCAACAAATCATCAGGTGTAATTCCAAATATCTATCTGTAAGACAGTTCTTCAATTATGTAGTAAAATGTTTTATTTATTCACCGTTTATTATTTATTACTCCATATTTTCACTGAAATAAATGGGAAACTTGGAGACTGTGAAGAGATGGTAGTCATGGGAATTGACAGAGTGAACCTTGGGCACTGACCAACCCTGAGGGTGAGCCGTGCTGTTATGCACAGATACCCATGGTTCTTGAAAAGCTTGAAAATAAAAGCTATGTGAATCAAACCTGTTTATCTTATTGTTGCCCACCCTAGTTTCTTTCCCAAGTTGTTTTCAGTAAATTCTGAGTTTATTTCTTGTTATTTCAGTCATAATATGTAAACTGTTATTTCATGCCATTATGTCTTGGTCATTTCCCTTACTCTCTAGCCAACAAACTTCCTCATTTGACTTTTTCCCACCCTAAGCAGGCAAATGTGGAGGGGTGGGGGTGGGATAGTTACACAGATAAGCTAGAAATATTCTCTTCCCTCGTAATGCTTCATTATTGATTTTGAAATAACAGTTTTCACTGATAAGAATTTTCCATAGAAAAAAGTTCTCCCTGGGAGAAGAATAATAAAAGATTTCCAGATATACTTGGTATAGTAATGTAATGTAGGATGTTTGAATGCAACAGTCATAGAAATAATTCATGAACAACTTTCTAGTGTATGAATCATCAGGGATTGTGAAATCAATATAAAGGATTTGTAACCGGCAATCATTTTTAATGATATATGAGATACTAGAATAAAAAATATCTGCATATTTAAGGAATATACATTCCTTAAAGTAAGAGTAAGTATGATTTTGAGCAACTTCCATTTTGGTTGTACAGTTACATATAAACCCACATGATATGGGTCACTATGAAATCGGTTTGAATGTCTCTGACTTGGTATGGCGTGAGGCAGAACAGCACACGTGGCCAAGCACAGCTTCCTTAGCCCCTCTGTAGCTATCCCATGTTCTGTGTTTCAAGCCATCTTATGTATTCTCTTCTTGTGGCAGAAGGTACATGAATCTCTCTAACTTCTCTTCAAAAGCCTTCCAAAGGCTGGTTAATGCAGAGAACCTCCCATTACGAAGATGAAAAATAAAATAGTTCAATTTTTTCTTTATTTTTATTGTTGACATTATTACAAATGTTCCCATCCCCTGCTTTTTCTGCCTTCACTGGCCTCCACTCCTCCTTCCCTCTGGCCATCACACACTGTTGTCTCTGTCTGAGGTATGCACGTATGTTTTTTACAATGGTGAAAGTTGCTGGTTCAAATACTGTAAGTGGCAGTTAGTATAGAAAAAAGGAAACCAGTTTATTTTGAGACAGATTATTTACCTTCATCAAGAAAGGAGAACAGCCTTAGAAAAGCCCACACCAGTATCTAGAAAAGTCTGTCAAAACATACATCCATTAAGAATCTATATCTTAATCTGAAAGAGAAGAGTATACAATCACCAGTCCAGCGACATGTGAATATATTGACTCCTAATATCTCCTAATATGTCTATGAAATGTGGAACATGTAACTGGATATTCAATACTTACACAGTAGTAACTGTAGACCTCAGATTTATCTTGAATTTGCAGGATCTTTACGTTCACAGAGGATAGCTCACTTGCTATCTGAGTAGAGGAGAATGAAATGTCATTGGGTTGTCTCCTTTAATATCATCAAACGATGTGATCACACAGAAAAATACAGAGTATAAAAAACATTCTTTTACCCATAACTTACCTTTGCCATATCATAACCTTTTGTCATGATTTGCTTCAGATCCTTGTTTTGAGAAATAAAACATTACAGATCTCATTCAATTTCTCTACATTTCCCTCTGTGATTTCACAAACTTAAAAAGTAACCAGTGCTTTAAGTTTCTTACAATGAGCATTCTGACTTATGAATGCCTATATATATGTGTGATAATTTCTCAGTAGAAATAATTACCAATAGAATTTCTGAGTTAAACAGGTGTATCTATAGTGCTAGATATTTTTAAGTTTCTTTAGAGAACATTTGTACCAATTTTATAGTTCCAACAACATTATTGTGCCATTGTGCTACATCATTTCTATGTTAAGAATTGTGAAGCAATTTATTTTTGCCAGTCTGACAGTTGTGAAGTGGTATCTCACTTTTAATTA